CAGAAATGGATCACGCACAACTCTAATTATTTATTATTTATTTTCAGTTTTGAGGATTGAACCCAGAGCATTTGGTAAGTGCTCTACCATGAGCTACAGCCTCAACCAAAAGATATTCTTAATTTAAACTAAAGTCTCTATATTTAAATATTCTTTCCCCTCTCCTCCAAGAAACAGGTTGCTAGCAATTTTTATACAAAACATTTACTCTACAAGTACACTGCTTAATTAGCCTTTAATTTGATTCCCATACAACCTAAATTCATACATTTCAGTCTTGATCTCCAGCAACTCAGAATGCAGAGTGTGACCTTATTTGGAGACAGGGTCTTTACAGAGATAATTAAGTTAAAATGAGGTCATTAGGTTGTGCCTTAATCTCATACAGCTAGCATACTTGTAAAAAGAGGAATTTGGACGTGGAGCCCTGCATAGAGGAAAAAACTATCATATGGTCATAAAACAATGGCCAGCTACAGATCAAAAGAGAGGGACTTGGAACAGATCTTTTCTGTAAAGCAGTTAGAAGGAAACAACTCTACAAATACCTTGATTTCATTACCAGTTTTGTTTAAGAAGAGAATTGAAGTGATTCTCAGCTTCTCTTAAGGAATTAAACAAATGCTAGTCTGGTTTGCCTTGTGCAACTACCATAGGATGTTTTATGGTTGATCTTATTACAATTCATTATGCTATGATTTTGTTGTTATCTCTTAAAAAATAAGACTAGAACATTCAGAATGCCTGGGCTCATGTTTTCTGTCGCTAGTGTAATCTGTAGTAGTAACATCAAGGTAAATTTGTTTCTAAATATTTACTTTAAAACTGGATATCACATATTTAGGAATTGTGCAAAAAATAAAAACTCACTAAAGTCTCAAAATTTTATTTAGGATTACTTATTTATATTCTTTGAAGCGCTGAACAATGGACTCAGGGATTTACACATGTGAAGCAAGCGATTCACGACTGAGCCAGATTCCCAGACTTCATCTTAGTTTTTAAAAATGTAAGCCCGATAGAGTGAATAATACTCTGAAAATATTAAAACAACGGAGATGAAAAATCTGACATTTTTAGTTGGAGAGGTTTTCATTAATCTACACATTTCTTTAAAAGTCTGATTATCTGCTTGTACTAACCAAAGTTTCGAAACAATATTTCAGAGGATAACTTTGTTTGATGCTGATCATTTTACTTATTTCTCTAATGTCAAAGGATTTCTAAACAATGAGAAGCTGTCTGTGTACTTTACCGATCAGGACAAAGACAAATATCTAATTTAGAAAATAGGGACTCTTTTAAGTTCAAAAATAATTGGCTTATCCTTTCAGGTAATTACTGATGTAATTAGAAAGATAATGTAATTAAAAATGATGGAATCAAAATGAGAAGCTGGTGGCACAGCTTGTTCAAATGAAAAGAGAGAGAGAGAGAGAGAGAGAGAGAGAGAGAGAGAGAGAGAGAGAGA